GCTGCTGAGATGATTGGTGGTCTTGGGGCTGCCTTGAGCGGGTGTAAAGAGCCAGCAGCTGCATGTCCTGTGCTTGGCTCAAATTGTTCTCCAGCTTCTTCGCTTCCTGCAGCCCCCAAGCTCTGCCAGATGGGTTGTGATGGCTTCGCTCCCTGTTGGCCAGGAGTGCTGAGCTCCCCAGGGAAAGAGTGCAACTCTTTGATTGAACTTACAGCTTTATCAGGTGGCATCTCGTTGTACACTTGGATCTCACACCTGCAAAGCTCAGGCCCGTCAAATACAAGCTGATTGATAGTAAATGGGAGCCTTCTAGTGCAAAAAGCCAAAGTTGCTCCTTAGAAATGCTGAATGTCTCAAGTGTTGCAACCAGCAGTGAGGATAAACCATGCAGAAAAAGTGCTCTGTACTGAATACAGGCCAGTGCAAGGCAGAGGTTGGTTCCTGCTTTCTCGTCCTGTAACTTTTTTCTCAATTTCTCCTCTTGCTCTTCATTTTTTTCACTAGCCAGCCCAATTTAAGGTTGATTCAATCCAGCAGGAAACGTTTCTTCTGATTTCAGGCTGTCTTATTAATCAGTGAACTCCTAGATGGGGTAAAGTTCAGCAATACTGAATAAGAAGCAAACAGTCCAAGAGTGATGATTTAGGGAGAAAAGAGTGACACCAGCTCCTTGCAGTGACCGAGCACCAGAAATTTCAATAATCTCTTCTTTCCTCCGTATTACTCGTAATTACTCTTCTTTTATCTTTGTGTATCTACAGACCTTCACAGCCAGCAGCTGGGGAAAAGGCCCTGTTTCTTTCCATTACTTACTAGTATAAATGACAGGCACATAAAATAGAGCAAACAAAGCCCCTGGAGTAAACAAAATCAGCATTTATTCCTCAGTCATTTGTTTACAAGATTGCTTTATATTTTTCACAAAAGAACACATATCAGAGATACACGAGTTCATCTAAAAAGCCAGATACACAAGCCAATGTGATAAGGAACATAAAACCCACGTGCTTCATAACTTAGTTCTCATATGCCTGTCATCTAACTTTACAAGAAGTTGCTGTGGGGTCCACAAACACTAGTTCTGCCGCTCCAAAATGTGATCACTAACTCTACTGACACAGCTAAACAACGTATTTACAAAGCACTATCTCTGCCAGTCTTCAATTAAGATTTGAAACAGGTAGTTAGTTGTTCAGCTACCAAGCCTTCATGGAAGGTGAAACAGTCTAATGTCCCTAAATGGATTCATGCAGTGTTTAGTTTTATTCACACAAGACAAGTATCTATTGGTGACGATAAAATTAGTACATGAAGATGCAGCATCCTCCTGGAAGGAGTTTGGAGCGTCGGTGTTCATTCATGACTGCTGTGTGTTTGATGTTAAGCAAAACTGCAATCCTTATCACACATTAAGAGTCCACAAGCTAAAAATTGCCCCGCTCACTGGTGCAACCAGGGGAAGGGGATGAGATGGTTTCAGGTCCCCATCAGCAGAGAAGAGCTGACACTTCTACTCACCGCTCCTGCTCACTGCTGTCAGTGATTTGTAACATCAGCATTAAATTGAAGGTACCTTGACTCTTACTGCAGCAATTTAACCACTGCAGAAAAACTATCTTGACTGAGATTTCTTAATTGTTAAAAAAATAAGGTTCTTTTTATTTTTACTGGTCAAGACCGGTGCAAAGCCAATTTTTTTGGCAGGGTGTGTGTGTGTGTTAAACTGGGATCTTGTGCTACTCACATCACAAAAGGTGGACCAAGCACTTCCCTTATTAAATTCTGTGGAGCTGCACTGTTATTCCTGGATGGAATCAAGTTACAGAAGAATTTAGCTTAGGCTTGTAACTTTAATCAGCTTTTAACATTAGAAGGAATATGAAAAAGAAATTAAGAAGTAGCTTCTGTTGTAATCTCCAGAGTGGATTATCACAACTTGCCAGCTGCTTATGCTGTGAAGGTACTCAGGGGAGCAATTGGCTGCAGGTGCTCACAAACATGGATACGACAGTATGGACATCTTCCTGCAGTAACAGTTTTTACCCATTTCATAGCCTCCAGGATGTCCAACATGTAAAAAGAGTTGTAAAGCCACTAGTGCCCCACCTTGAGCCAAATAAATTTGCTTCTAATCATGATGCCAGTGTTAGACTACTCTAGTACATCATGGGCAAAACTCTCTGAGACTTTCTCTAGCTGAACCTCTCCGCTGCATCTATAGAAATCCTAATTCTTTTAAGCACCAGGTGACAGCTGTCTTTCAATGCCTGACAAGTCAAGTTGTCCTTTTCTGAGCACAGTTACATCCAAAACCCTAGGAAAATTTGTCCATTACAGAGTGCCTTCAACTTCCAGTGACTTACCACAGGTCGTCCCTGCAGAGCAGTCCCTATGTCATGTTCCTGCTAAAGCTGCCTTTCCAAACAGAAAGCCCTCTGCCTCTTTGCAGTCCAACAGGGAGTCTGTATGCAAACCTGGGGGTGAAATCATCACCTAGTATAAATCACAATGTTACCATGATGTTGGCCTTTCATTTTTACATGTCAGGAAGAACATAATGGTGTACACAGACCAAATACTGTGTCTTGACACTTTATCTGTTCCACCACAACTGATGTTTCTATATCACTCTTGTAGTACCTGCAGCCATCTCCGTGTGTGGGTGTACAGCTAAATGGAGTAATACCAGCTAGCACAGTGCCTTTCACACTTCAACTTGCTCCCTACCACAGTAACGCACAGTTTTTAAGTGCAATTGCTTAAACCAACATGCAACAAAAATTATAATAAGCAAATTCACATAGATGCAGTTGACTTATTAGAACCCAGTCAACTTATTATTAACTACTGGAAAATAAATAATGATGTGTCAAAACAATAATTTAATATAGTAGTCTCTAGCTATTAGCTGTTAAAGAATGTATTTAAGGAAAACAGAGCCAAAACCAAACTTGCACACAAACACACACAAAACAGCATGCTCTCTCAAGTGCAAGCCACTAAAAAGAATCTAGGTCAAGATATTATTTAACTAAAATTACAACAGCCAGAAAAGATATAAACAAACATCTCTGGAGACATTTTTCTCAGGCACACCACTGCAGATAGTGGTGACAATTACACAGCAGTATAATTTTTTCACCTTTAATAACGATAATGATCTTGATAATGCACCTCCCTTTTGATTTGGTGCTGCAGATCTAGAGTCTATGGGGCAATAACCAGAAGTACACTTGGGAATTTCTCCTGCTCTGCTGGGCACCCACAGGCCTATGCTTGTGCTTAACGCTGGGCACCAAATGGCACCTTCAGTCACTGCAGAGATTCACCCAGTCCAACCTCCTCCAACTGCCCCCGCCTCAACCTCATCCCCCCCTACAGGAGCTGTCCCAAGGATGAAGGAGTGGGGCAGTTTACAGATAAGACTGAAGAGCATGACCATCATTATCCATGTTAGTAAGAATGAGAGTTAAGTCCCTTAAGTCCCACTGCCCAGTCACACAAACAAGGGGCTAGCGCGGTACCCCTCCTCAACTCCTGCCTTCTAAAAGGGCCTAACTTCTCAAGGGGGGTGAAATACATCAAGCTCTTCCGCCCTCCCTAGTAAACAACGTGTGCTTATTTCTGACAAAGCACTGTAAGGATGAACTCCGTGGCTGTGTGTAACAGAGACCACGTCCCAGTGCGGCTCCTGCAGGATTTGTGGCTGACTCAGCGCAACACACTCTAACACGGGGCTGATCTTTATGGCACTAAGCTCTTAATTACTACTCAGATGTATGTATCCACAAATGATAAATCCTCTTAATTCAACTGAGTAACCAAGCAGATAAGACTGTCGTCACACTGTTATTATAGTACAGTTAATAAGATTCAAAATGACATGCAATTTATTCATACCCATGTAAAATCTACCACAGGAAAAACAAAACCCGCAACCCAATCCTACAATACTGGCACTAAAGTGCATAATGATATCTTGCTATTCCAAAGTGGTCTGCTGCATTTTAGTCCAATCATTGAGTTGTTTACTGAAAAAAATCCTACAATATCTTGAAAGCAGTCAGAACAGGAGTGGGAACTTCAGCCCTAGCAGAAAGGTAGCTTTTCTATTTATTTTACACAGGTGAACATAAATGGTGACTAAAAATAAGCAGACCAGTTTCTATCTAAAAGTCATACGCTCATTTTCTTGATTTGAGACTGCTTAGTCTTTTCCCAAAGAGACTTCCATTTCTGCTAGTCAAAGTTTTCTTCAACTAAGACTACAGGTAATGATTTGAGGGTGGCAGTGCTCTACATGGTATCATAGTTGCATGGTGAGTCATTGTGTGAGAGTAGTAATGGGTCTCAAGTATTTGCAACAACTAGTACAACACATCAGTATTTCTTAGATTTCATAGCTGTAAGAAGTACTATCCATTTACAGTAACAGTCTAAAGAGATCTATTACAATGGCTTTAAAATTTTGGATCAAACTGGCTGCAGAGAATGTCATGGCCATGATGTCCCATTAATGGGCCCCTTCTATTTCAAGATGAATGTTATCCACAAAGGATAAAGGTATGAAAAACAATTAATCAGGTGGTGATGAATAATACTATTTTGTCTTATGTTGATCCCCTTTAAAAAAAAAGATAATTTAAATAGAAATACATATTACATGTATAGATAAATATATAGAGATAGCTATATATTAATATGTAGTTTGATCAGAACTGGATTAATCAAAGAAAATCTAAATAAAATATGTCAGTGTCACTGAATAAAATACTCACTACACTTTGCATTTATGTAGTTCTGAAACCTAGCGTCAGAAAGCCATATACAGCAGGCAAGAAATCTCATTATTTTAACCTCACAGACTGGGCAACTAACAGTCAGATTCACTTAATGATGAGCCATACTCAAAGAATCTCAGGTAAATAATTCAGCTTGTTCTGACTCCCAGCTTTTTATCCACTTAAGATTCAGAACGGTGTGGGAGCAAGATAAGAGAAGAAAACTTTAGAAAAACAGAGGATTTTCATTTGCGCCTGTACCCAGAGGTTGTAATGAGCAGAGGACTGACTCTCCTCTTTGACAATGGTCTTAATCAGTCCTATCAGCATTAAACAAATTAGCTGGTGTAAAATCACCCTCTGTTAAAATAATTCTGAATTATACTTGCATATTGGAGAACAGAGTCTGCATGGGTACAAGTCAATAGTGCCTTGTTTCCTTTCTTGTTTAATTAATCCAAGTGTATTTAAAGCAAACAGTAATTCATCAGGCTAAACAATCCCAAAATGTATCATAACACGGTTGCAGAAAATTCACCTACGTGCAAGGAAAGCCTCATTTCTCATTTCCACTGGTGTTACATTAACATGGCTTTAACTTTCATTGAGCTAATCCTTAGCTCATTTTAGTGTGACAGGAAAAACAAACTTGATATCTTCTACATAAAGCAGCTTTAAACTGGCTGCAATTTTTTTTTTTTTAATTATTTGACTCCAGTGTCAAATCAACCTTGGCTACAGACAGTGAGAGACTGCCTTCTGGGCTGAGATAAGAAGCAGTCAATTTAACTTGATAATTTTTTTTAACCATAAGGAACTTTTGATAAATAAAACAGGATGTAAGACAAGATAGAGAAAAATTCCTTATCCAAGTTAATGTAGCACTCCCAGACATGAAGAACATGGTGTCCAGAAGAAACACCTTCCTACAACCTGGAGAAATACTTTCCTTCTTTCAACAGCTGAATAGAGAAGAAGCAGCTCAGCAATGCTGGGACTTGTCCTGGAGCTAAAGTGCTGTTGGTCCATGTAGTAGAAGTCTTGGTCATGGCAGGGGAGTAAAGCACCAAGACTGCTGATATTTTCAAATCTCTTAGCAGCAGTAACCACACAGCAGCTTTTCTGCAAAATAAACAAAACAAGAATCCAGTTAATTCAGCAGTATACTTTTTTTTATTTGGTTAAACGTTCTAGGACAACCACATGGTGGTTTCTTCGTGCATAAGGAAAAGAAAGCAACACAGAAGCTCCTTGCTTACAAAGGGTTCTTGCAGCCACCTTATTTGTGAGATGTTTTATACAATATTAAAAAGACAAGGCCTCTTTGTTAAGTGGAGAAACGGTCCTGGAGGTCTCTCTTGAAATGCAGCTACTCTGGTTTTTTGCCTCTCTTGTCATACAGATCACAGCATGAAAAGGCATGCTGCAAACCTCTCCATTTATTTGTGTTACCACTGCAAGCATTTATAATGCCAGGTCTAAATCAGCTGGCACTTGAGTGTATTATTTTGGGTTAAATGTGGTAACCATACTACTTGCCTGGTAAAAATAGCTAAAGGGATTCTTTAAAAACAAAGCACTGCTATGACTTTAGATCCACTCATTAAGTAAACTCAAATAAACTCCCCAAAGAAAAACACGCACAGAGGAAATAACACTGCAAAAGCCAAAACCAGGTTTTCCTGCAGGTTAGATCATGGGTAGGTTACTATGTTACAAAGCTATAAAAAGTTTATTTAAAAATAATTTTGACTGCTGTTGGACAGTCAATTTATCTCAAAGTTGATTTTGGTTGTAATAGAAAATTGTGTAATACAGTGCTTCCTGCACTAGAGAGGGAGAATTTTCACCATTTGGTTGTTGTGCAGTTAGTGGCTTGAAATGGAAAATATAGATAAAAAACACTAGTCCTGTAACCGGTCAGGAAAACCTGGTTAGAAAACTACTATGTAGAAGCACACAGATGAGTGGACCAAAGCTTCATGTAACCTGTCCCAGCATCAGTAGAGTGGGGATGAACGCTGAGGAACACAAAGACATATTCATTCCCACTGGATTCCTACTGCAGAAGCTGATGCTCAGACATTACCATATCAGGTAGTTATGTGGCTTCAGAGAGCAAGCAGGATATAACAATGGTACCTTACCCTCAGTGACCTCCAGTGTACCATGGAAAGGCAGCTTCAAGACCCCAAAATAGCTCATTTAACTTCCGTGTTACTACACTACACTATATAAAATCTGTTCTAATCTTAGTCAAAACAGAACAAAAATTTCAGCCTCTCACAATACCATCTTTTTCACAAGTTTCTGGACAAAACCTGTTGCAAATAAAACCCAAAGCATCATTTGCCCTACCAAACAGATGATGGATGAAGGCAGCATTAAAAACTTGCTTGAAAAGTGGACTACTTTTATTTTGGCATCCGTTATTTTGTTGCTCATGATGCATGACTAAAAGGAAGTGGTTTTACACAGTGTGTGTGTTCTCAGCCTAATTCACATCTTGACCCTTCACTGAGTTTTGCCCAAAGATGCCCCCAGAACCCTTGAGTGGTTCCCATGGTCCTTCAACAGAGGCACCAGCTTCTGTGGTAGTTGGCAAAAGCGGCTGTGGGAATTGGTGTACTGGTTTATGGAGATACCGTGCTGCCTGAGGTAGCCTTATTTCACAGTGGCTGAGTGAGTATGCTTTGGTCAAAGACCAGAGACAGAACATGAGAGCAGACTTGAGTCTCCCTGATCCCCAGGGGAGGCAACCAAGCCAGTCTGAGAACCACTAATGAAGTGTTTGTTAATGAAAGGGCAAAGACAGGGAGTCCAAAAAAAAAAAAAAAAAAAAAAAGAGAGTCTGAGCTGACATTTTAACCAAAGAACATATTCTTGCCATCATATATGCAAGTGCTCATTGGCCTGGGAATAATAATGCAGATACAAAAGCATTTGTCCATGTCTTCCCACTAATCCATGACTTCACATTACAGTATTAATTCTGCTTTTATTAAAGGGGAAGTTCCTGAATCCTGACCTGAAGGTGGGGAATCTCATGTGAGTAAAATACACTTATTTGCAGGAAACTCATATTTACTTACCAGTACCAAATAAATGTGCTTTCTCACACTATCCTACATTGTTCTTTCCCATTAGAATCAAGGAAACACATATGTAGAATACTCATTATATTCAAGGATCAGTAGTCAGTTGGTATCTTTATCCAAGCTTAAAGAAAAGTAAAAAAAGGGGAAAAAGGGGGGAGACAAAAAAAAAAAAAAAAAAAAAAAATGGACAGAGAGAGATGCTCTGTCAAAATTGTTTGAGTTGTCTATAGCAACTCAAAGGGCAGAGAAGTGCCCTGCCAGAACTGGGTTCTCAAAAGTGTGGAGCAGCTTCTTTTAGGGGACACCTTACTTTCATTTCTCTACAGTTAGTGGAGCTGCCCTGAGGGTCTGGCCTGTGCCTCTGCTAAAAAGTAATTACTTTTCATATTTCTACCCTTTTTAAACCATACTTGTAACCACAGCATGAAAACCTGAAAGCTTTCAACACTGAAAAATTATTGGGTGAAATCCTGCCCCATGAGAGCCAGTGGGAGCATAACCATTCCCTCTAAAATGGCCAGGGTTTGCAGCACATATGGCTTCATATATATGACTTTTTTTTGCATGTTGCTGGACTTGGAATAAGTGATAGGGCTAGTTTACATTTTGAATGCTTTCCAGACAACAGTGAGGATGGTGGTGGTGAGAGAGAGTTCGGACCATGCACTTTGGACAACACAAGATTTTCAGCTGCCCACTGATCCCTTCTGCAGGGGCTACAGTATTTACGTCTGAAGAAACACTTGGGACCTGAAACAAACCTTCTGTTTGGCAGCTCTTTAAGAGGTTATTGAGCCGGGGGTGCTCGAGACACACCGTCACTTTTAGCCTTCTTCTAGGGGAAAAGAAAAACAAAAAAAGAAATTAAGATACCATTAATGGAGAATCAATGGAAGATCAATCATATCTTACCTCTAGTTAAGGTAATGGCAGAACACTGCAACATAAGCATGTTTAGTAAAGCTATTTTGCAAAGCACAAGAAATATGAACAAAAAATACCACGGGAGGAGCTATAAAGGACAACATGAGTTGTAAGGTTTCTCTTAAGGTAGGGTTACCCCGGAAGAAGACTGGTGATAGGAAGCAGCACAGCAGGTAAGCACCCGGGGTTCTTGCAGTGTTTGGAAAAGACAGCCTGTTCCCCAGGTTGCAGGAATCAGAGCTTCACTGGAGCCCAACTAAAGGAGTCAAATTTTATCCTATGAAACCCTCTAAAGAGATACTTAACTGTGACAAACTCTATTTTTTACTGCGTATGCACACATAAATATTCTAATAATCTCATGGGCATTGCTGTTCTGCGAGATTATAATGAAAACTAAATGTCAATGACAATTATAATAATTTATTTGATTGTTATTATCTCCCATTTTATACTACTACTTTTTACCCTCACTCTATGTAATAGGAACACCTTGCAAGGACAGAGCTGTCAGCACACAACTCAGTCCATCCTGCCCAGAACCCATACCACCTCATCAGCAGAGCTCCTACTACTTTTTTTATCATCATAACCTTTATTCTTATTTTAATAAGGTTATTTTGTTAATTAATAATATGATGTCTTAATGATGACTATAGTTCAACAGGCAGCTTGACATATACATCCTAGGCAATACAGATATCATTTTACTTAACATAGATGTGCTTTGCCTGAAGAGGAGGAAGTGTAAAAATTCTGAAACCTGCTTAAAATTATCCCCCGAGGAATCACTGAACCACAGAGTGGACTCCCTTAGAATCAGCCAACTGCAAGCTCATCAACAGTGTGAATCTCCCAAACTCACTCACTACTTAACAGAGGAATAAAATCTTGTTGATCCTCCAGGAAACAAACAATTGCTTCTTTTGTGATGGCCACCTCAAAGGGCAAGAAGGTGCTTAGGTACAAAGGTACGGACTGGGTGAGGTTCCAAGCTCTTTTGGGAAAGGTATCCCTTGAGAGGAAATAGGATGAAATCTAACAGCACTCATGGGAGACTTCAGGAGACCCTGAAAGGGTTTTCAAAGCAGGAAGCAGAATCACCCCCAGCTGGAAAACTTTTCATATGGTAATTCAGTGCTCATTTTGTAAATAGTCTTTTGCTAAGAAATGGATCTACCCAGCAACACACAGCAATTACATGATCTTATATTTCTTCCCAGTTGTGCAAGAACTGATGAGCAAGTGTGAGCATGCAAATTATAGCAACTTAAAAAAAAAGCAAGGGGACATACATGGCTCTCAATAGCAGGAAATGCAGCAGCAAGGAAGAATCAAAAGCAGATAAGAAAACTGTCAAAGCAAATAGTGATGTGGTAACACAAGAAGGCAACAGCAGTTCTACAATGCACACAGATATTTAAGTTTAGGGACCTGGAGTCTGCAGTGGAGCTTGTGGTCTGATAACCATGGGTGTTTTAAGGCAGCAGTTGCACTCATTCTCCAGCTAAAGGAAAACCAGAATGCTATTAAGCGTTTTTCCCAGAATCTTAAAATTCAACAATTACCTCCTACAGGTCATGTGTCCTGCCATCATACAATACTGTCATTTCAGGACACTATGCCACATGACAGTTAATCCATGTAAGTTTTTCTTCACAGCAAAAATGTATTCAGGTAACTTCAGAACGTTTATGGACACAATGAACAACATCAATGAAGTGGCATTATACTGTTCTATGTGGACACAAAAATCTTAGATAATTAATTATTGGTCTGCAATGGAGCATTAAAAGTGACACAACTGTGACATGATGGCATAAAAAACACATTTCAAAGATGCAGGGATTATATACCATTTTTCCTTGATGAGAAGCTTTGAGATGAAATCTTTGGCCTGATCAGAAACACCTTGAAATTCCTCCTCTTCAAAATCCCAGCTACAGGACAGGATATTGTTGAGGGTCTCATTGTCATCATCACCCAAAAAAGGAGACAATCCAGTGAGGCTAAAGTAAAAAGAAATATGTTCAATCCTCCTGTCTTTCCCCTTCCTGTACATGATCTCCTATGATCGTTCTGTCACTCCTGGCCCATCTTGCAACAAGTTATTGTCTAAGAATGTCCCATTCTCTCTTCTATTTGCATGATCATCTTTCTTCCTTAACAAACTAAGCATTACCTTCTTTCTCAGTAGTTCATATTTCTAGATCTCTGACCACTCTCGTACATACCTACCGGGAATTTACCAAGTAGCCTACAGTATTCTGGAACTGTGATGCTCAAACACTCATGAGAGAGGCGCAATGGAACGAAGAAAAGTTCATGGTGATTGGAAAGGAGGAGAGATTACTGAATATGGAATTTGGAAAGAAGCCTAGAATTTTCTTTCTTGGGTGCAGATTTTGTCAATCGTCCAGTATAACAACAAATTTGGATGACTGGCACAGTTCAACCTTGACACAGCTTACAATGCTGATCCTACTTACAGCATATAAGCAATGACTCCTACACTCCACATATCTGTAGGAAAGGAGACAAACTCATAATTCACAACTTCAGGAGCAAGAAATTCTGGAGTCCCAAAGTTAACTCGAAGTTTTTCTCTGGGTTGGTATCTAGGAAATGGAAACATTAACAGAGGACATCAATTACAGCTCTAATTACAGTTGCATCGTAAGTTTTCTAGCGCTTGGAGGGATTTCAGAAGCACACAGGGAATTCAGTAGGAAAATAAGGACAAGCAGAGGTACAAAGTAAAAATAAATGTACTCATATATAGAGTGAAAAATGTTTGCAAGCTTTATATTGTACTTGAGGGCAAAACTCAACTGCTACACAAAGGAAGATATTCAGGTTTCAAGGACTCCTCAGAGCAGCTGTTATCATCCTTTTGGGACTTCTCCATATCATAGGCATGGAATTTTTAACCAGTAAATCCTTCACTGAGGTTATGGTACCTAATTAAACTAGAAAGTGATATAGCATGGGATATATTGTAACAGCCTTGATGGTCTCTTACACTCGCTTTTGAAGAATCTCATAACATCGGAGACAAGAGACCAGACCAGATGCACCACTGATTTTGTCCATTTTAGCTGTTCCAAGATACTTATGTGCTTGCTTAGTCACAATCAGCCCTCTTTCAACCCAGGACCTGAAAAAAGTCTTCAGAATAAATCTTTTTTACTCAGCTCCAAATATTCTTATTAAAAGATATTCCTGATTAAAAGAGACACATTAAATTTGTCCTAAGAACAGTAGGAGACCATTATGTATCAAATATGTCACTGTAGAGATGTAATACTTTTTTTTTCATTGTTTCTTAATTCATTTATGATCAGCAAGAACACATGCACATACCTTCTTGCCAATCCAAAATCAATAATTTTTATTTGATTTGCTTCTCGGTTCACACACAGGATATTCTCAGGCTGCCAAGAGAAACCAAAAAACACTTCAATGAGAAACAAGTATGAAAAACTGGGCTTTTAGTAAACTGTAGGGAGAAAAACACTAAAAACACAGCACATATCTCATAAGCACCTTTTGCTTTTCTCCTTGGTCAGATTTCTCTGCATGGGTACCCCTCCTGATCTCACATAACAGTTGGGGTCATGTGTTCTGTGCCTTGCAACTGCTTTTTCTTCTCCTTGGCTTTTCAATTTGACACAAGGCAGCAGTTGAGATAAAGAACTCATTAGAGGGAGTGGGACAGAGAATGCAGACTTCCAAAGAGGGGTTTCCGGATCCTGGCACTGTGATTTTACAGACCTTTATAAACTGACACTGATTTTTTTTTTTTTTTTTTTTACAAAAAAAATAAATAAATTTATTGGGCTTTGAAGTTTATCTTACAGCTTTTCGTTTCTGAGTTCATGAATGTTCTGGCAGTAACTGTCTGATTGAACACTGATATATTAAGCTAGACACATCAACTTTATGCTTTTCTCAGATATTTTATCAAAAGGTAGGATTCCCAGGTTAAATCCCTCTGGATTTTCATAGGGCCAAATGCTGTTCTTCACTTCCCTGGCAGGAATCCATTAACTTCCTAGAATTACTCCAAATTCATAGAGAAGGGACTGAGAATAGAATTTGGCCAATTATCTTTGAAATGTAAATACCTAAAATAGAGTCTCGTATTCACTGCCAGCAGTTTTATAGCTACTCTGTCTCGTTGCTCATTGAGTCCTCTTTGAAACAAACCAGCCCTCAACACTTAAAACATTAGTTAACCTTTGTCACCATTACTAATTCATTTTACATGTAGGACTTTTAAACACCACTGGACTTTTAAACACTGTATGTCCGTAGTTTCTGAGGTCCTGGACGATTACAGTCAGGATGATTTTCTTTCAATGTCAAGCTTTCTTCCCCAAACTCATCTGTTACTGACAGCAATCTATGAACAAGCAAAATAGAAGGGAGAGCCATGGCTGGCAAGCACATGAAAAGAGGTCTCTGGGAAGAATTCTTGGATTGTATATGTATCTTTTTGTCAGTAGTTTGACCTCATGTTAAAACTGTGCCATATCCAAGAATATAATTAATGTGTCCCAAAGAACCATGTGAACTGCTTCTTGACAGGTTTCTAGGTAACTGGATGTTTATAAAGAAAGTGAAAAGTGAGTCTGGTCATTAATTAGCAACTGAAGCAGGTCCGAACAAGCATCTGCTCATTTGCTTAACCACTACAATAATAACAACATCAAAGATATATTATATTAACTCAGTTATTACAAGCCAAAACCAGCAGCCATAAAAAAAATCTCACCAAAGAGAAAACCATCTTGTGCGCTTTTTGTTACTTTTTGCTTTGTTGCAACGCTCAGGGATCACTAAAAGCTTTATAGCCAATCATAAAACTAAAGACATCATCCCATTTTATTCCTGCACTAAACAGAGGTAAGAAACAAGTCTATTAATTATTTTATTCCTGCACTAAACAGAGGTAAGAAACAAGCCTATTAAGTGATAAAAACTTGAGGTAAGGGAGAAAGAGCCAGCTCAAATATTCAGTCTAATGAAAAATGCCTTTACAGCAAATGTTTTCCAAGGGGCAACACTTAACCATCAGCAGTCAACCAGAGTAAGAACGTGCAATTAGTAGTTGCTTTTAAAAACAAGTGAGGGGACTTTTTGTTTATATAGTTCAATAATTCAGATAACTGAGCAAGTACACAGCAGAGAATACATTACCCTTCCCTGGCCTTTCAGCTGCATGAGCAGCTATTACCTAACCCAACACAGACATACTGTATTTGTTACATCAGCCACTGACTATTTTTCTTTCATTTTAGCAAGTACATTTTAATGTATTTTCCCTTAAGATGGCTATCTGTTGAGACCTTTTCATGACCATGACAGTGTAGCGTAGTCATCAGAAAGACGTGCAGGGTTTCCACTGATCCTGAGTGACCCTTAAATTTAGTTCCACTCACTCATGCCTTGGTTTCTGCATAGTAAAAAATGGGGATAACTACTACCCCATGTCTGATGCATAAAACAGAAATCTTGTCCACCTGAATTAAATAATATTTGCACAATATCCTGAGATCAAAACTGAAAATAGCAAAATATTCATAGTCAGCTGCTGGCTTTCTGTAAAATCAGTCTGTGGAAAATTCAAGTGCTATGAGGCTTGATGACATATGACCACAATTCTCATCTAATTTACTTACCCCCATAGTAATTTAACTGCTCTCAATGTGGTTAAAGTAAATACACATTGGTCTAAGGAAAGCAGAATAAGGTTCTTTCTTGTTTCTGCTATGGGAATCTGCTAAGCTATAAGGCCTACCATTAAGAAAAAGAATTTCCACAACTGTCATTGCACAAAACATACATCTCAATTCTCTACCTTGAGATCCAAATGAAGAATGTACATTTGGTGCATGTACTGAATTCCCTCGCAGATATGTTTTATGAACAAGATAGTATCCATCTCTGTCAAATTGTAGTTTTCATCAATAATTCGGTCAAATAACTCTCCTCCTTCCACACTGATAAGAGAAAGACAACCAAGTAATGACCAAGTCCAAATCCAATCCCATGCAGTTAGAGTAATACAGAATTTATACTATTGACTATTTTAATCATGCACAGTTAAGTTCAGTAAGGTGGGTCTACACTATGAGCTTGCACTCTGATCCGCTTTCCAAAAACTAGGTTCTGATGCATATTGGCATAAACTTCTTCAAGTTCTGAGAGTCCGGTCTCCATTGCTAAGTACACAAGTCTTGAAATTTGAACTTTAATGCTGTCTTGAGTCATCATTTTGCACAAGTGAAATTAACAAAGTCACATGGAAAATCAAGACAACATGCTGGAGAATCTGCACTTGAATCTGTGGTCTCCTCCCTCAGAGTTTGAGGGACATGATCCAAAATTTCAATTTTAAACTGTCTATAGTCAACAAAAATGACTTCCTAATTTCTCATCAGATTTCAGAATGCCTCCAGTTTACCTATTCATAGCTACACAGACATTTGCCTTTTGTGATATGCTAATGATGTAAGCCAAATTAAGAGGATTTGCTGAGAAATGTCCAGAATAGCCAAACTCATGTAACTTTGAACCTTTTGCCATACCTTTCAATGTTTTAGTTACACCCTTCTTGGCTTCCTTAAGACAACATCTGTTTAACTTGACTTTAAGGCAGCTATTTTGTGCCTAATTATCCTGATAAAACAGTATTAAAAAAAACAGGTTTATCCATTCAGGCACCCAGTATAAGGATTAGGCACAACGCCTATAGTTGACTCCTCTTTGGTGTAAAATGTCTTCTCATTTGCCTCATAGAACTGGAGATATTCTGGGAGGTCTGTTTCTTAGCTGACACATATTAAAATTTGAAATTAGAGAGAAGATATATAACACAGCTCTATCTTCAAGCGGAGCAGTGGCTTTACAATAACAGAAATGCGGCACATCACTGGAAAAAAATGCATAAATGGCTGCATGGGAAAACTTTCCTCTTAAATTCCATTTTATTTTGTTCCTGAGAACATCTTTCAGATGTCCTTTCCACCTGTAATAACTCTATTTCTAATTTCAGAAGAAAGTAAGAAGGAAATGGACAATTCCAGCAATAGTGGTAAAGACAGAGAAAGAAAAGAACACACTTACTATTCCATAACTAGGACAATGTCATTTTTTGATTCAAAGGCATCATATAGCTGGATAAGGTTCACATGATTCAGCTGGTTCATGACATTGATTTCATTCTTCACTTCATCCTGTAAAGATTTGTATTGTTTCAGAAGCCTTTTCTCTAAGAAAGTTACATGAAAAAGGACATAGTTTGAAACAGACATCTACATTATCTTCATGCTTTCACTCCTGGCAACCAAACCCAGGGTTTTCCTTTAATTGCTCCTGCAGCGGTAGAAGTGAAGGCTAAAGGAGCTACTACACTGAACTCAGAGCTCAAGTGGGGGACTACTTCAGTAATAAGCTATTTGGGGGGAAAAAGAAAGGGGAGGGCCCACAAGGACAAATGGTGGGTTCACAGGGATATAAAGAAAAGAGAGAAGCAGAATAGGACTTGGTTCAACCAGCTGCAGGTACAGAAAATCAAGCTGTGTAAGCAAAGTCCAGGAACAGTCCTCAAAGCCTCCCTTTGCAGTCAGGGGAAAGAACCTGGTGCCTCCATTCAGCCCAACTATTTCAGACATGCAGTTTAGGATGGGCTGAATCAATCTCTGGTGGTGCCATTCTCTCTCCATTGACTACAAGGGGATTCTTGGTCATCAGCTTGGCCACAGTTGCTATACTTTAGCAACCCCAGTTAGCAGAGATAAATCCCACCCTTGAATGCCGTTAGTGACACGGCTGTCGCACAAAGGAAGCTATGCATGGCTTTCCTGTGAAAGCAAGCCCCAGATGGCCATGAGGTTTGCAAAACGTGCCAGACTAATTCTTCTCATCTGTATTTGTGTTGCTATCAGAAGCCTACATCATGCCTGTTATCAGCATCCCTCAGTGACACCAAGTCCTTGCAGCAAAGGCTACAGTGTACTTAGGAGGGAACACACTATGTTACAGGACTAACAAATGTTTTTATTATTCAAGAAAATGTTAATATAATTAACAGCAGAGAAAAAAAAAAAAAAAAAGAAAGCTTAAGAAACACAAAGAGCTGAAAAGAAAGTTGGAAAAATTAAAAGCTTTTTTTTAAAAGAGAAAACCCAAAATGAGGACTTTGATGAGTTACTAGAAATTCTGGAGGAAAAGGAAAATAGAACTAGAGACAATGGTAATTCAGTAGGTCCTGTCAGTGTGATGGCTTGTGGGCCATTTGACAGTGGTCTGTTGTGTAGCTGGAGAACAAAAGACTGATATGACAATCTACCAACCTTCTGTTTAGGACCTTTCGCTTTTATAATTTTGGCCGCTAGCTTGAGACCTGTTGCTTTCTCTTCACATTTGTGCACTTGACCAAATCGTCCCCTAGGGAAAAAAAGGAGAAAAAAATAAATTCATCCAGAGGTACTGGTGTCAGCTCTGAATGTAAACTAGGTTAAAAACAAAAGAAATCATCCTCTCCCTAATGGGCTCTGCTTCAATTGCTCTATTGTTGCTATTTTGTTGTGTAGACTTGCTACTACTGATTTAGGCATTCCAAAATCACCCACTGTTCTAGCTGAAATTATCCCACTTTTGTATGGTTCACTGTACTCACCTTATAACATGTGATGACTAATCCTGGGGAAGTCAACATACTGTAAGGATAATAATTCACTTATATGCACTATCTGCCCCTCTCCATCTCATCATTCTCCTCCAAGGGAGAGTTGTGATTTCCTGATGAAACTAAGCCTTACCCAAGACCACGCTGCCATCAAAAATGACATCACCACTCTCTCCTAAACAATGTCAGCATGACAGATCACGTAACTACACGGCATGTCAGAATGGTTTGCTGATCTATCTGAAAACATGCATGTGTTTTCAGGGATGGGACCCACTGAGAGAAAGAAGGCTACAATGTGTCTCTATGTCCTGCTGGTTGCAATGTGAGGTAAAGTATTACAGCATCCCAGGAGCCCTCTCATAAAGCCTGAGGGCAGCTGGCTGACATAGAACAATACCAAATACAAGCCAAGTCTGCTGGTGCCAAACCTTTTGCCAAAATTCACTCACACAGTAAAATCTGCCTCCAGTTTTAATCCCTCTCTAAAGCACCGATAGAGCTTAGACTTTTGTGCCTTTGACTTTAGCGAGGCATGTTGCTTCCATTCACCTCCTCGGGTGCTTGGTTGTAAATTTGTGCCTTGCTTTCCACAATGATTGAGTTCACCTGACTTACCCTCCCAGGATTTCATTTTCGCTGACATTATAGTAACTGCTGATCCCCACCCTTTTGGCTGAGACAATCCGGTGATCAAAGGGTGCTGGTGGTGTAGGAGTGTCATCTAGAAAAGACAAAAAAAGACAGATAGCATATGAGTGGTCACATGCAGTGCTTGTCTATCTTTTATTTTAGTCATTCTTTTCCCCAGATAAGCTCATTTAAGAACTGAATACACCTACTCTAAGTTTTATAGATAGGCCTTTCTCTGTTATTTAAGAAGGGTGTTTTTCCAGGAGCTCTCCCTCAGGAAACAAGGTGTTGATGGGGAGCTACACTACTAGGACAAGGACTACTTTATTAAGTTAGCGTCTTCTGCACAACAGTAGCAAGAGGTAAGTTGAACACCAACAGACTAAACCAATGTAGCTTCATGCCCACAAAGGGCCTCAGCAATTTATTTGGAAGGAATTCAGCTTTTCCTCTTTTTTTGTTTTTTCTTCCCTCAGGGACTGTTAGTAGTTGAGTATGTACTGTAACTCTCCAGTGGTGTAGGAAGAGAGACAGAGCTCTCCTACAGGCCCAGATAAAAGAGGCTATTTCCCAGCTTTTGCTGTTCATAGTGAAGAATCCCCCTCTCTATTGATTGACACAACTTGCCATTCTCCACAGTGTGGTCATCACCTTTAAAGATCACATTTAGAGCTTGTGCACATGGAGTTTCAGCCTGGCAGGCAGCACCTGGGATTTCCACTATGGCTCAGGACCTGGTGTGGTAGGACACACGTAACTGTCACGTGCTGCTCTGAAGAATTTCTGTCCTTAGAAAAAGATGGCAGATAAAAGGCAAAGAGGGGCACAGAGAAGCGATGGCTTCCCAATATTACACTGCAGCAGCTATGGAGTTTCAGCACAAATTCTCTCATATTATTGTCCGGACCTCCACGTGCTGGACCATTCTGCTGTCCTGATGTCAAAATCCCGGCTGGAGACCAGCCCTGCATGTCTAATTTCTCTTTGGATTTTTTTTGCAGGGTGTTGTGACTTCAATTTCATACCCATGATGTTTTTCATTTGATTGATATTCCCGAGAGTGACCTTTGGCTGACCAAGGTGACAAATACTTCTTCAACTGGTTGGGAGGGCTAGAGTCCCAGCATTTCAACATGAGCTCTCTGGTTTGGAATGCCGGCTCCCTTTTGTGTGAGGCTTGTTGAGCAATTTAAAAACCGTTCATTAATCCAGTGAAAATGATTAAAAACACAAACAAAAAAAAACCCCATGACAGCATGTAGCTGGCAGGAACACTTTGGTCATTAATGTAGCAGTAGATTGTCATTCACAGTGAATGTCCATTTTTCCAGGACACCAGCTGTGTACCTAGATTTTTTTTTGACAGCGTTAATAACTTACATGGTCAGGAAGTTAGTTCATGGTCAAGGAATTGTGAAAAGCTGGGGCTTCTGGAAGTTTGCCACCTACTTGGGATTCTGCAGAGTTTGAATTGCATGGCCTTAAGTATGGGCCTTTGTGTGTTACCGAGACCCACAAATTGCCAAGAAAACCTCTACCCTAAAGGCAGAATTTGACTCTAACAACACAAACTCCAAGGGCCCCAGCATGTAGATGACAGAGGAAAATGTCTTTCTGAAAGCTCAGCTCCCAAATGTTACCAAGCTTTGGGCAAGGATGTATTCTTTTAAAGAGACCGGAGTACCTCTTTAAAACTACGCTGCAGTTTTAGTCTTCAAGATTTTCCCAGTGACAGACCTATTTTTCGTTTCCTGCACACCAGAGGGGATTTCTCCCTCTTCAAGAATGACCTCCCTTTACAGATCATACATGCTCCAAGAGAGAGACTCTAACCATATCATCCCCAACAATCTGCCAGAGCTCAGGACAGGTTATGGAGTTTAAAGTTTTAGTACACTACGTCCTGTTTCCTGCTACAAGAGCTTAGCACAAACATTTAAGAAATGTTTCCATTTCCCTCTCCCCTACATCCCAATCCCAAAGCAAATAAATTAATTTTAAGTCCTATGCATGCACACGCACACACATATATCTTCAAATCCTTCAGGTCATCCTCTCATGTGCCATCACACTATATACAGGGATGGATAGGCATGGAAATTCTCAAGCTGGAGGTCTAATATTAGAAATCTCTGCTTCACCCCAGTAAGCACCGCTTTAGAGTTTGGTGCTTCAGCACCATTTATCTGATTGTTGAACAGCATCAGCCAGACTTCCAGACAAAAATCTGTAAGTCTTTATTTTATAGGCTGCAGTTGTTCTCACTTCAGATTGTAATGGTAAGAATATGAGCAAGCTGGTTTTGCAGGCTACATCCAGAGCATTGCAGATTCTGTGTTAACATGTGTTCTCAGCACTTCCACAGGTCAAACAGTTTTGTCACACATGATATAATTTCTCCCACCACACTACACTTAGGAGTTTTAGCTCCTAAGGAGTTCTAGAAGGGAAAGAGGATAGTATTAGTGGAGGGGTTGTGGCAGAAGCAAATTAGTTGCAACGAATTTCTGCCAGAACAGAAGCCTCTAAGATGGAAGCAAACAAAACTGTGTTATTTCCATAAACTGGAATTAGGATGTGCCCATGAAGAACAGATTCCCATCAGAGCTACCATGCACACCTTTTCCCCCTACTAATTACAATCATGAAATCATTCTCTTCTACAGATGTCTCTCTCTGATCATTACTGTAATAACAGGGGAATCAAACGCTTTGCCTTTAGGGATACTTCCTGTAAGAGCTTTTTTTAGTTTTACAGATGCATCAGCACTTTCTGCATCTAGCTTGTCCTTTTTGTTGTTCATCTTTGATTAGGCCTTCATCATGCACTCGATGCTTACTGCTACCGCTATGCTCAAACAGGCAGGTCTGCTCAGTGATTGAACTATAATTTCCTGTACCTTTTTCGCAGCCTTTACACCTGTAAGGACAAAACATGGCATTAGAGCAGAGCACACTTAAAGCAGAGCAAATTTAGAAACATAGGTGAAAAATGCCTACACATATATTGCATTCAAATAACAGTAGGTTATTTTGCTTCATGATGTAAAATAAACTTTTAATATTCACTTTGAGAAATAAAAATGACCCCTAAGTTAATCATGACAGCAAAACGTTTCTCTGTTACTGAAATCCTTGCCTGAGTTCTTCTAAATTTAACATTTAGCTATCAGTCTCACCTTTAAAGTCACAGGAGAGCATTGGGATTTCACTCTACTCATATAGGTTCCTGAGGGCTTAAACTTGTTTATCTCTGAAGGGCTATATTTCAATGCAGCAAAGAAAGAATTACAGTAAACAAATTTATCAGTTTAATTGCCTGGACAGAGTTTCACAGTTTTATGTTATCACTTACATTATTATATTTTGCAGCAACTTAATTCCCAATTGTACATGGCCTAACCTAACCTTACTTTGCTCATGGGTTATATGATGCTGCAGTATATAAACATAACAATGGGAGAATTCTCCTCAGAGATGAAGAATCAGAATCATTGAATCATAGAGTGGTTTGGGTTGGAAGGGACCTTAAAGATCATTTTGTTCCAACCCCACTGCCATGGGCAGGGACACCACCCACTTTGAGATTGCTCAAAGTCTCATCCAGCCCATGGCCTTGAACACTTCCAGGGGAGGGCCATACACAACTTCTCTGGGCAATAGCCTAACATAATTTCCATGTTACTAAGCTCTTTCCCAAGCAAACAATCAAAGCACACTGCTAGTACCATGTATGGTAGATAGTTTGCCTGTCTTTTTAAGGGTATAATTTCAGTTTAGAGCTCAGATCAGAGAGATTAACCAGCCACTTGACTTGAAACTTGATCTACACATTTTTCTAAAGCATGAGTCTCTTAAGATCATGCAGCCTGAGCTTTAGACCTTACCTTCCCTCTGGTACATCTTGATCATGGCTTTGTCCTTCCTCATCTTCATTTTGGGAAGGAGCTGGTGGTTCCTCAACTTCTTTTTCACTCTTATCAGTATTTCCTTCCCCTTCATTCTCCCTCTCCTCTTGTCTTTCATCTCCAGACACCTGATGTTCCTCCTTCCTCTCCCCATCTCCCGGGGACTCACTCTCTATCTCCTGCCCAGTTATCCTTTGACAAGTAGCATCAACAGCATCCTCATCTTGCTGCTTTTCTGTAGTGAAGAATTTCTGAACAGAGCTTCTCCTGTCTTTGCAACAGCTTTCAAAAGCCAAAGTTTCTCCTTTCTCCTCTGGCCCTTCAGTATGAAATCTGGGAGGATCCATTTGAAGCAGAACAGAGCATTCTGTCTCGGCATTTTCCTTGTTGAGCTTGTCAACTTCTTCTTCCTGAGAGCAAGACTGGCTCTTCTGGATGGACCCCTCTGTAAGTAAACAGATTACCAAGTCAGTAATTCTCTGAAAGGCAGTAACAATATTAAAGTAGAGTTGCACACTGAGCATAACTTCTGTCGCTTTTTGAATGAGGCACTTGCTTTCCTCTCCCACTTTCAAGGTCAGTATAAACATCTCCAAAGCAAGAGCAGAATAATTCTTTAAAACTTCAATATCACGGGTCACAAACTCTTCCTTTCAGGCGCAGCACTGGAAAATGTTTTTCTCATATTTATTGTCAGCCAAGTCAAGGTTAATAAACTCCTATATAACCTTAATAACAAGGTTAATAAAAGCACAAAGCACTTTTTTTGAACAGTGTGCCACCATGTGCACAGGCATGTGATACGTAGGTTGATGCTGCTTGGAAAATTCTCACTTATGCTGATGAGCTGTAACCCAATCAACTTCACTGGAGCTGCTCAGGAGAGTAGTGGCTATTTCTATGCAGTTATACCCTTAGGAAATAGAAACTGATCAGAAAAAAAACCATTCTAACCTGTTGAATCTGGTGGCTTCTTCTGTTTTGTTCCCTTCTCATTCAAATGTAGCTTTTCCTTGATGAGCTGTGGAGAAGGCAATTGACGTATTAGTCAGTGTACACAGTGTTCATATTGTATTATTCCTCATGAAATTGCAGCCTGATTTTTCTTGGTAAAATGCAAGCACTCTGTGTTCTAACTCATGCTTTTCCTATGGTCCTTATTTTAATCACTACAAAGCTGATCAGATTGGTACCACTGTAAAGTAAGAGAAATTATCTCAGTTGTAACTGACATCAGTGTTGGCATAAGCAGGAAAGATCAGAATGAAGCCTTAGGGACTGAAAGAAAAAAAACATCCAGAAATTAGTTGTCGCACTGCACTAGCTTTTGCTGTTAAAAACTAGGCTAGTGAAACCAAAGCTAGAATATTTAATATTCTAGTAAACTGTTCAGTAACAGTCTTACTGACAGAGTTCAAAAAGTTTTTTGCTGTTAATCAACATCTGGTAACAGAATTTTTAATGATCCAATAAGTTATTACAGGCTGACCAAAACAGTTACCAGGAATCAGAACGTATAAACCATAATGTCAGCTTGGTAGCTTTCTTTTATCTACATTTTACAATGTTACAGTGACATCTAGAGGTGCTATATACCAAGCCAACTCCTCATAAAACCACTGCTATTACTGTGAGCTTTATGGCTATTTACTCATATTCCTATGGCGTTTGCTCAGTGTGCTTTTTCATTGGCCGCTCCTAGACTCGTAGTAGGACGGTAACCACAGTAAAACCATGGTGTCTGCTGTTACTTCGTTCTCCTTTTCCACCTGCCTTCCTCCTCCTCACAGTACTACAACACTGGCACTACCATTATTAGCAATAGATCCACAGCGTGTGAAAAGTGCAGATACCTCCAAATATTTTCCACAGAGACTATTTTTGGTCTTTGAGCTACCAGCTGAAGCAGTGTAATACATATTTCAATAAAATATACAGGGCCAGGCACTTAATTTTGAGCGCCTTAATCACACAAGCATTCCCACGGCTTATTCATATTGTATTCTGAGCATAAATCAATTCTATTGCTAAATATTTGCTCTGGTAAGCCCTCTACATTTTTTATGCCTTTTTTTTTTTTTTTAATTTCATCAGGCTATATAGAAAATAGGCATGAAATTAAAGCAATGTGTATCCACTATAAGCAGCGTTCAAACACAAGGAAAATCCATGAGAAACAAAAACAGTTGAGAAAAACAGGATGAAACTGCATGAAAGGATTTCAGCAGGACTTGTTCAGAATATCTTGATCTGCAAGGGACAAAGAAACTGTAATATGAGCATAAGAACTGACACTGACAACTTTTGGGGATGCAGTTGGTCCCAGGAAGTTGCAAACCACAAAATGAAAAAGCCCTAAATACAGGTAGTAAGTGCCCTTGAAATATACATGGGAGCCTTGTTCACACAGAACTTAAACATAAATGTCACGATTCCAGGCGAATCACAGAGCATCAACCAATGCTTATTCTGACTTTTTTTTTTCAATAGTGAAAAGCACTAAAAGAAGTAGGGAAAAGCTTCAGACTTATTCACTCTGCAACGTGACCGCAATTAGTAATGCAATCGGATTCCTGTAAGTATGTCAACCTCACCGTACTGCTGAGGACATCAGCTCTGATCAAATACAGTCAGCTGAGCAAATAAGCAGAGAAACGGCCTCCAAGCTCTTTGATGCATGGGGCCAGATTTCACTTCTGCATTCAGAATTAATTGCAGGCACACAGTGCTTCCTACAAAATATTGCTGTAGTTTGCAGGTGTGAAATACAGAAGCCAGCTTTTGAAAATCTGGTGGAACGCTGAACGATGCTAAATATCTGAAACTGCCAGAGTGTTACATAAATTACTACAATGTTTAGTCAAGCATCATTTCTGAGCTCTTACATTTTAGCAGCAGATGCGGAGCTCACACTAATTTAAATGAGAAAAAAAAAAGAACATGAAACATCTACTGGTATCCTTCAGAATCAATAAATGCAGCTATTTGCAATAAATACAGGGTCAGTAGTGCACCAGAATAAGAAATACAAATATAGACTAGTAGTGGACTATTTGTAGACATGTGAGTAGTCTATACACGAGCATCCCAGTTTTCTCTGTGTTTTGCTCTTTGTAGAAATTCATGACTTCAACTTGTCAAATCTTGACCTGGTGACGAAAATACAAACTTCTGTTCATTATTTCTTCCCTGTAAAGGGTGGGATTGTGACAGGTTCTGTGGAGCTGACAGAAGTCACCACACCCCTCCTGGCCAGATGCTCCCCAGGGGTGGCACCAAGACCTCCCTGTAGTTTGTTGGGGGTATGTGCCCACACAATGTCCAACCACAGTCAGCCGAGCCAGCTCCAAAAGCCCACAGACTGTGAGCACCCAAGGCCATCACGCTTCTCTGAAAATCTCATCTGAAAGGTGTGGTGGTTTGTTAATCCCACTCAAGGACTCTTCATAACACTCCTCTTCCTTCAGTCTGTTAGCAGCGCTTTCTTAAGGGTCTTTTGAACTCGATCCCTAATGGGATTTTATTTATTTATTATTCTTCCTGAACTTTGGTGACATGTAACTTTTTCCAGTCTGTAATTTCTAAATTATAGGAATCAGTATTTCTTAGTAGAAATTATGTCTCCACCTTATCTTTCCCCTTTCTTTAAGGCCCTGAATACACACAATAAGGTTAATGGCACTACAGTCATTTTCCCGACTCATACCAGCCAAAAGCTTTCAATTAAGTTTTCATCTTAATTCCACAAAAGGTTAAATATAAAAGGTTGCATCGTGACCCTGCAAAATATACCAAAGCAAAAAGGCATGTACCTACACAAGTTGATATTGTGTCTTCAAAAATACATACAATACATTTTCCAGACTTAAACGTATTCTTTCGTACAGAGTATTGCTAGACCCTAAGTAACAGAGACAGAATAAAAGCCCACATGATGATAAAAGAATAATAGGAGATACTCCAGAGGCTAAAACTTGAGTTTAAATCAATGGAAAAAACCACACTTTCAGAAATTCTTTAAAATTTCTTTAGAAACCTGCAGAAATTAAGCAATAATACATATAAATATATTTTAACAGAAATTTCAAGTGCAGCAAGAAATTAATGTTTTTTTATAGACATCTGACTCCTTTTTAATGAGCTGTACTTAGTTAAATTCCTTCTTTATACTGCAGCAGTCCTACCCTTGGAATGTTTTCTTAGCTAACTTTCAAATTCTTTTTATTCACCTAATAAAACTCTTTGATTTTTTTTTTCCTACTGCAAAAATTTTGTAAATGAATGGCCTCATGAAGCAGCCCCAACCTTTTAGTTAAAGGTCCTTTATCACCCCATCACATTTCATTTGATGTCAAGACACTATTCTCAACTTCAATCAGCAGATACCAGGACACAAAACTTTGAATATGCCTAAATCATATTTCTTGCTCGGTGTCTCTTTCTCATGTTCTTAAGATACTTTGCAGAGCTTTACTATGGCAAGATATGCTGGTTTTGTGTAAGACCTGATCACCATTCATTTTCAACATGATTAAGTCCCTTGGGCTTTGTGATGAATTCTTTTCACTTACAGCCAGAGATCAGCCATAGGCTTTGCCACCTGAGCAACATACTGTGGACGCTCCCAGTGTCTCCACATTGATACACAGGAGAATGCATCACATACAACAAAGAACTTGGGGCAACAGCATGCGTGGTGATGCCTCCTGTGCTATCCCCCAAAGCTGGAGTCCATCCCCTCCTTCCCTTTTGTGTAACTTTTCAATACACACCTTTTTTTTCTGCCAGCAACGTAAAACAGTCGGTGAATGTATTTCTCATACAAACTTGTAAACGATATAAAATATACAAATGGGAATTCTGCTTTAACTGACAGGTATACATCTGCTTCTGTGCCATTATTTTTCGCTACACTACGCAAACTGTTGGCACCTTCACCCAAATATTTTGACTCTTCAATGATCTTCATAGAGCTCCTTGAACTAGATAAAAAAAAAAACATTCTTCTATATACACTAAACTCGAGTCACAAGTACCTTTTAACAATAACCATGAGAATCGTGATTCCCCCACTAGAAAATACAATTCTATGTGACGCGCTGCCTTGAAAATACACTGGTAATGAGGTAACAACCTCTGCATGAAGACACAGAAAAAATACTGAGAAATCCCTTGGAATAACATCAGCCTAGGTGAGAAGCTGAAGATCAGTGAAGCCAAAGCCTTGTCCATTCCCCACTTCAGTTTTCTGACTCTCCACCCACTGCACTAGAGAAGCAGTGACTGGCCTGTTTCAAATGGATGCTTCCTCCTGCCAGGCTGTTCTTATTAAAACAGGGAGTCCTACCGTGAAGAGCAGAAGAGGCTTTCATGCAACCTGGCTCCTGACAGAACCCATGGCCTTGAGCATTCCATCTGCTATGGTGAAGACACAGCATATTTGCTTTGAGGTCTAGTCACCGTCACTTAACAGAGTCATCATCAGGCTTAAGAGCAGCTTTGAGGTAGATTTTTTTTAACTCCAATTTGATTAGTATAATTTTAATGTCTCTGGAATACATGGAGGCCTGTAATAATGACCAGCAAATCTAAAGCAACAAATCCACCTCCTACGACCGGAGCATTGAGCATTACCTGGCTTTGACACACTCTATCTGGGAAATCAAATCAACCTGTTACTATTGCTTTTGGGTTTCTCACCTGAACATATCAGGGGCAATGTCAGCACAACCACCGGAGACTCTGAGTATCTGTCCTACCAACATATCGGACAGCCCCACATCTACCCTTTCCTCAGAGCTGTAGAGAGAGAAAAGCTCCAACAACAGTGCCCAAGGCAGGATCCTACCCAGGGAACATCGTAGAGCAGGCAGCAACTTCAGAGGCTAAATGAAAGCAAAATTAGCTTTCATTTCATTCAACAGCATTCTGAATTGGAAGGACATGAAACACCTCCTATGGCTGTCAGTAAGGGAGAAAAAGGGGCAAAACAAGATGAAAATATCTTTTCTGGAGAAAACA